TGACCTTTGATTGTGTGCGTACGTTAGTAAACCGAAGGCCTTTTGACGTGAACTCAAGCTGCACGCAGACGTACGTTCTCGCGCTGGCTCAGTATCTTCTGGATTTGAGACGGGGTGTAAGAAACCATCTGTTCGGGAGTAATCTCCCTGAGAAAGCTATAATCCTCGTGGCGGGCCTCTGGACCATGCTTTCCAAGAGTCATCTTCTCAGCGAACTTACAGCCAATGCCGTCAAAGGCCACAGGAATTCCATTGGCCTTTCTACCCATGATCAGGGCATCGCGATCGACGATACATCTGTAGACCCAACCGAAATCGCCCTTTCGCCTGCAAAGAGTACACTTGTCTCGCGTAGAGTAGAAGCGGGTCATGACAGAGTGAGAGCATCTGATTTGGAATCGGCGCTTCGAGAAACGCTGAGAATAGATGGCGAAATTGGACAAGGGAATGGCTAAAGGTGGAAACGCAAGAGTCGCGATTGGCAACGCCGGAAGCGGTTTTCCCATGTCGGGCGCCTCCATTGCGTCGACAATATGCCTTGGTGTTCGCGGACGGACAGGAAGCTGTCGCGGGAGGTCAGGGCCGGCCATAATGTCGGCAGGGAAGAGCGGTTGCTGGCACGGTCGCAGTCGTGAATACTGTCACTGTAGGAGCTTTCGTCAATAGATGGCGGTGGAGAAAGCTGCGATGATGTCTTTGGCCATGCCGAAGGAGAAGGATGAAGATCAGCGAAGACCAGCTCAACCAAGAATCCTCGCAACGATTACAGGACGATACCTGGGGAGGCGTCAATGGGCTAGTGTCGTTGTTGGACAAACGCTGTGAGCAGGCCGAAGACGAAGTGAGGCGATGGTGGTGCCCGCGTCGAGCATCTGCAAACCTTGAGGGCAGTAAAACCGGATGACAAGAATTGGATGCCCACATCCTGCACCAACATCAAGTTCTAGCCAGTGTTCTGTCGGCATCCTCCATTACATGCCAAAGTCGCTCCATCGACGCAGATGAGATCAACTTGAAATCCCGTCCTCCCAGATTTCCGAAAGACTGAACTGCATAAATGGACGGATGCATTGGTGGACACTTGCCAAAACTATCCAATTCATCGCGCCTTCCTTCAACCTTATCAAATTGTTCCAAGCCCGCTTTGGACGCAAGACGCACAGAAAACGAAAAAAAAAAAGTTACTGGGAAAAATCGTCAACCAAATCCCGCTCCAAACGGCTCATCTTCAGCCTGCAACACCCAGTAAATTGATCCCCTTGATCGACCCCCATTCGCAACATCCACAGTATCTGTATCACCATTCGAAAATAAGAAATCATCTCTCCCTTGACCGCGCGACACATCAACCTTACAGATTTCCCCTGATGGGATATCCATTATTACCCTCTGAGAAATGGCATGGCACTTGCCAGACGTCGAATCCCTCCACCATATCCCATCCTTCTCGCTCTTGGCTGCTAACGGCCTTTTCTCCAGATCATCTTCGGTTCTCGGTACCACTTGTCGATCCCATGACATGGGCTCTTGTCGTCGCATGTGTCGTCATACATGTGCTGACCTGTCCAACGGGGAAAAAAGGAAGCTGATACCCAATCTACCAATGCGGCTCAAAAGCATGTCATGCCTTCTTTTCCCTGGCTGCCCTACCATTTGCCGGCCTGGACTCAGGGGAACATGACACTTTCCGATCTGTGGAGAACCGCGAGCCAACAGGGACAAAAGCATCGATGACGGCAGCAGATCCTGGCCCCGGCGAGCCCAGCGCCCTAATGCCCAAAGAAGCAGCAAAGAAAGTCGGAGGTCCAGTACAACCAATAAAACGCGCTCACGGCCGGCCGGCGATGGAAGGCTGCATCGTGGACCAGCACTCGCAGAGAATGCAAGGAACACTAGGACAGGGATGTCACTCAGGCGAACGCTAGCGAACACTGGGGGCGGGTCGATGATCTGTGCGGCCCCGGTCTGTTTCTCTTCTGGGTTGGGAAACGAAATGGTACCTCGGCCGGTTGGGTAAAAACACCAATCACGTCGGGACTGGACCCCGGCAGGCCTAGATTTCAGGTCCCCACAACAAACCTGTGCAGCTGCGATGGACCTCTGAGAGCTCGAGCTCGGGCAGCTCAGCGCTCCAGTCCCTGTTTTGGAAGCCACCCTGGGGAGCCACGGGGGTTTGATATTGGGAGCGACACGGCGGCGATCTGGCAAACGCAGAGAGCCCTCGCAAGTCGCAAGCCCTCAGCTCCTGGTCAGCTCCTGGGCCGGGGACCTGGGCGCAAGCTGGGGCTGGTCAGCTCCTGTTTACCAGCCTCCTCGTAAAGGCCTTCAAGACTCGCAATTTGCTATTTCCCCTTCCCTCGAACCACCCCCCGGATCGCGCCAGTTGCCAAACCCTGACCCTCTTTCACTCTTTTTTGCTTGCGCTTCTAGCGGTTCCAATCGACGTCGACTCGTGCTGTTCTGCTGTCCTCTCCACCTGTCGCTGCGTACATCCCATCGTCGGTGAGTTTGCTGTTCTTTTCTTGATGCTCACAGAGAAGCCCTTTGGAACCCGAACAGAAGGAGTCCCAAACAGTCGGTGACGGGCCCGGACGGCGCGGGCTAGGGGCCTGACGGGGCGTCATTGCGGAGCATTGGCAACTCGCATTATCCACTCCGAACGGCCCCCCAAAAGCCCCAACCTCCAGCGAAAGCTCCCAGCTTCCCCGGCCGGATGCCCCGTAATCACGGAGAGAAACCCGTCGCAACCGCTCCGGGCGCGACCGTCGCATCACGGCGATTTTGTCCGCGCCCGCCGATTCACACTAACGTTCTCCCTTTGTTATCGGTGCCTGCCCGTACCGTACCGGTACCGCTACCATATACCCGTGCGCCCCCGCTGACCACTGCCCTTCCTCCGCAGGCTTGACGCATCCCAATTATTAGATGTCGATTTGACCGCCGCTACCTTCCTCTCGCCATGTCGGTAAAAGAACACCACAGCACTGTTGGTGCCATCGCCGAGGCTGTCGCCGAAGCTGCCCACGGTGACTTGCCCGGTACCAAGGGCCACCATCCCATCTCGGCCGTCATTGGTACTGCCATCACCGGCGGCAGGCAAAATGCCGGCACTAAGGGCTATTTGACTGTACGTCATCCCGTCACTCCCTCTTCCACATGCGCGTCCTAGATGCGCTCATACGGCAACACCATGAAGTCGAACAGGTACAGGGGAAGGCCGTCATAAAGGATTGAAAGCATCATGGTAATGGATACTGACCTCATCGTTCACCTCAGGCCTACCTCAAGCAGCTGGAGACCAACCCCCTCCGTACCAAGATGCTCACTGCCGGTACCCTGGCAGGTAGCCAAGAATTGCTCGCATCATGGCTCGCCAAGGATCGCAACAAGAATGGCAACTACTTCACGGCCCGCGTCCCCAAGATGGCCACCTACGGCGCCCTTGTTAGCGCTCCCTTGGGCCATTTCCTCATCTGGATCCTTCAGAAGATGTTCCAGAACCGCAAGAGCTTGAGGGCCAAGATCCTCCAGATTCTTGTCAGCAACTTGATTGTGCGTCAACGTCCCCTGACCCTTATGCCTTGAGCGTGGTTAACCCTATCTTCTTTCATGTCCAGGTTGCCCCGATTCAAAACTCGGTATATCTTGTTGCCATGGCCATTATCGCCGGCGCCAAGACATGGAAGCAAGTCCAAGCGACCGTACGTGTCGGCTTCTGGAAGGTCATGAAGGTCAGCTGGCTCTCATCGCCCCTCTGCCTGGCCTTTGCCCAGAAGTTCTTGCCCGAAGCCGCCTGGATGCCCTTCTTCAACCTTGTTTCCTTCTTCATCGGTACCTATATCAACTACATTACCAAGAAGAAGCGCCTCGCGGCTTTGCGCAGGAAGCACTTTGGCGACGGTGCTCACGGCGACCATAGACATGATCGTGAGCGGGAGCGTGATCGTGAGCGTGAGCGCCATAGCAGCCCCCCTCACGGCCACGGCCCTTCCCACGGCGGCCGTCCCATCAACCCTACTCTCGGCAGCCATCACGGAGGTGGTCCCGTCCCGCCTCCTCAAGACTACCCTTCTCTCGGCCAGAACCCCCGTTACTAAGCATAAATGCTTTATCGGGCCAGCTCAAGTTACGGTGATGGACATCGAGTTCGAGCTGCGGATGGATCGTGACTGCTATGTGAACACACTGCCCCGGGATTACCCCTGATATATGATACCAATTATGAGAGTGGGGTCCTCGTTGAACCAACATCCGCGCCAGTCCGCCAGGTAGGCCCACCACAAGAAGACAGGTACAACCCAGCCACACACATAAAGCGACACTAATACAACGGATCTCCTGACGAAACGATTATGTGTAGATGAAGATACATTGGGGTTGTACATTGGAGAGAGGAGAATTAAGGAAGAAACGAGATCTTTTGAACACTGGCTTCTTTGACATCTTTTTTTTGCAAGGCGCGGGAAAAAGCCGGAGCAAGTTGGATGCTGCGTGTGAATGAATGTATTATCTCTGTTATTACGTGTGCTTATTTGACGATGGATACCTGAATGTGTCACTGAGATGTCCGCGTTTACTGTTTGTGAACTCCTGCTCTGATTTCCATTCTCGGTCCCTAGACTACATGTTCTAGTTCTCGGTGATTGGGAAGGGGAATGGAATGATGAAATGACATTACCCTCGATACAGGTACCACCCGCTCTTCTCGCTTTCAGCGGAAAATGAAATCTGTTCCAGCACTTGGAATAGACTGCACGACTCCAACCGAGCCTAGTCACATCATAGTCCAGCCAGGCTCGTACGTATCCCATGACAGCACCTTCCTCCAGCATCCAAACATTTGCCTAAAGCTTTCCGGCTGACGCCCAGGATTGCCTGATGAACATGCAAGATGTGAAGTGCCTATTTTGCCACGGGCTGCTTTTTGTGCCTTTCCTTCCATTCCCTCCACCTGACAGTCGGCACGGGCTGCGAGACATGGTTGGAGCGTTCCGGAGAATGCGGTGAACTTGGGTGCTTTCCCAATTACCACGGCGCGCGACAGTGCCCGGTCATCGCTGATCCACGTGAAGACACTGCTATCTTGGGACCAGCAACTCAGTGCGTGCCTATCGGGAGAACCCATAGCGACGTTGTGGCCAATCTCATGCCGATGTTGTCTTCACACCGTCGCCGCTCAGTCAAACCCTTCTAATGGAAGATCACCTTCGAGCATAAACCCAGGACTCCAATACTCCCACTCAATACCCTGCTTGTCAACCCAAAGCATACCCTCGCCCACAAGATCCTCCAACGCCGTTTGCGCTCGTGCTCTCGTCCATCGCAGGTTATCCATCAACATTGACACGCTGACGTATCCCAACACCTGGGCTGCTTCTAGCACGGCGCTCTGATCCGTGTTTAGTTCCTTGGGCACAGAGCGAATATACTGCTTGCTCCCAACCTTGATAACCGAATAAGCCGACCCAAGAGGCTTAAGTGTCCCTACGGCGCGAAGAATATCATCTCTGTTAATCGTGTCAGCCTCTCCATTCATTCGTTGATCCACCCACCGACACACTCTTAGAAGGTCCAAGAAAACAAATAAAAAAAAGCCAAAAGAAAAAAAACAGAAGGATAAACCTACTCAGTAACCCCCTGAACCCCCATCCCCTCTACCCGTCCCTTCACCACCCTCTCCCTCACCATCCCCACCTCAATCAGCCCTCCGTTCTCCCCTCTCGTCTCCCCACAGACCTCCACCACCCTCACCGCCAGCTCAAAATAAAAGTCATTCACCGTCCGCCCCAGCAACTGCGCCCACATACTATCCCCTTTCCCCTTGCTGTCGCCATGTCCACTACTAGCCAAAAGCGGATCCACCCCGATAGCCGCGCACATGCGCGCAAACTGTGCCCGGAAAGTAGGGTTGGACTTGATGTCTTTGGCGTGCGTGGCGGCGAATTGCTGTAACAGGGAGCGGAAGACGGAGAGTTGGGTCTCGAGAGCCGAGGCTTGCGAGGAGCGCAAGGCGGAGCCGTGCGTGGCGTATTGTGCGGAGGTGAGGCGGGAGCGGTCAAAGGCTGCGAGGCCGACTGCTTTGTTTTTGCGGTGGGACA